TGTGGGTGTGGGTGTGGCTGTGGGTGTGGGTGTGGGTGTGGGTGTGGGTGTGGGTGTGGGTGTGGGTGTGGGTGTGGGTGTGGGTGTGTGTGTGTGTGTGTCCATGTCCACTCTTGAAGTCCTCCCCACCAGCACATCCGTCTGCAAGCACATCAAGTATTAAAGGTCTTACGGCAGCACGAAGCCGCAAGGTGCGGGCACATCGATTTTCTCTGCAAAACGCTAAGGCTCGAACTGCCGACTTGAGAGGTGCAGTCCGCAGCGAAAGCTTACACTCAGCCAAGCAAGTCACAACAGCCCACAGCTAGGTTGAAGTTTTCGCAAAAGAAAACTTAGAGAGCATCAGACCCTTCACGAAAAAAGTTCTTCAACACCTCCATGCAAGCATATCACGTCTAAAAGGAAGGAAAACTTTGGGGAGCATCAGATCCTTCGAGAAAGAAATTCTTCAACATCTCCCAGATTCATCACGAACAAGCCTGAACGCTCGCTTCAAAGCGTCCTAGTACCTTCTAACGGTAACCTAGAGATGCCCAGCGCGCTGTGCAGTGGCAATTCCTCCTGCCTTGAGGCCATCCAGCTGGATCTTCGTTGACTCCTTGGCTTTTGATTGCGAACTGTCCGGTCTGACCTTCAAGCTGCCCAGCATTGTCACTCGGCGTGAATACGAAGTGTCTGCTCTACCTTTGTCTCCTGAGTGCCTGACTGCGTCGCGAAGGGCTGTTTGGTGGTCGCCTGCTCTTTATCAGCAGCACGGCAGAAGCCATAGGTCGGAGCTCAAGCTGGAAGCATGACATTCCCGTGAAGTCCGCAGCACTTCAGAAGCTGAGCCAACAACTGTGAACACGCTCTCGCCCTCGTCGCTCGTCATCCCGTTCCTGTGAAAGTGCGCGGCATCACCAATAAACATACTTGGCTTCATATCCACGTAAAATTCGCTTCCTGCTGCAGCTTTCGGTGCTCGGCACGGAGCTTGTCAAGCTCCTGCAACAAGTCCTGCACGAGGAAAGTGCCAAGCATCTATATTGCTACATTAATTCGGCGTTCGGCGGACCAGAAGCACAACACTTCATGCCGTGATGTACAGGATCGATTTCCGAGTGCAAAGCTGCGAGCGATGTCGCGGCAAAGATTCAGGCAGCCAAGCTCTTACATCAGATCGAGCCGACCTGGTGTCGTCCTTCCCATTCCGCCTTGAGCTGCAGGTGCGAGTCCTCCACAAAGCTCGCATTCACAGCTTACACACCCTTTCCATTAACTTCAGGCAGGCCGAGACACATCCGAAAACTATCTTCCTGGCAAGCCCGCGAAACTTGAGCTGGCCTTGGTATGCTTCAGTTCGGCCTCGTGGGCAGCTCTCAGCTTGGAATGAGCCTGAAGCTGCGAGCGCGAAGTGCGAAGCGCTTGGGAGAAAACTTACTTGCACCGCTCGCCTTGCCTCTTCGTGGTCGCGCGAGACATGGCCATGGAGCGCTTCCAGCCTCCGAGTCTTCCAAAAAGCCACAAAACCCTGCACCAGGCCAGCGTCCTAAGGGGAGTATGAAGATGCCTGACTGTTCAAAGATCACCCGCGCCTGTCCCTATCCTGCTGAACTTTCAGATGCTGTGCCTGCTGCAGATCAAAGCCACCATGGAGAAGAACCGACCAGCGCTCCTTACACCCGCCTGAATCTCTTCTTTTTCGCGCAGGACAGCCTCCGCAGATGCGGTGAAACCTAGAGGCTAAGTCCTCAACGCCTACTGCGACAAGTTCGACATTACAACGGGCAAGACATTGATGCCTGATGCTTTGCTTCCAGATCTGCCCTGGCGCGAGCTTCAGACTCCTCACGTGCGTGTTCTTATGCGCCGCCGTCAGACGCTGGGAGCACGCCCGACCGTATTCACATTGGGTCCTTGTCCAAGCGCAGCTTGGCCTGGTCAGCCTTCACGAGGTCCAGCTGCTTCAAGGCGGCCTGAGGAGCCATGTGAACCCCAGGGCCTGAGGTCTTTGACCGCACGTGACAGCGGAGGGTTAGGACAGTTTCGGTAATCCACTCCCATGCCGCATCCTCAAGCATTGGTTCCGTCTAAGTTGCCTCGTGTTTTCGTGCGTACTCCTCTTTGGCTGTAGTCTCCGCATCCTGAGAGGAGACAGAACGACGTTTGTGACAGTCTGGAGATACAAAGTGAAGTCAATGCGAAATGGCCTTGTCTCGCTGAAGGGAGTGCATGTCCGAAGACATCTTCTCTCGGTCTTGCAGAACTTCCACATGCTTCTTCTCCGCCTGCGACATCATTGACAGCACTGCACAGCCACTGGAAAACCTACGATACTGCTGAGCATGGCCTCTTGCCGTGCCTGTCTCTCAGCAGCATGATCTGCCTCGAACATGCAAGTAACAACATAGCGAGTCTGTCACGTCAGTGTGCTGCCCAGTCATCATTTCAACAGAAACGCCTCCAGTTTCTGCTTGTCTGCCGTCAGCTTCTGCATATCCTGGAGAACTGCAGCATGTCGCCGCTCGGCCTGGCTCATGGGTCATGCATTCAGAAGCTGTGCCTCGCCGAAAACTTGCTTCTAAACATAAGTACTTCTTGTCCGCTGATAAGACGCCACGCCAACAACCACCGAGAGAAAGAAGACCACAAACAATCCAACTCCAAGGCATTGAGCTTCGTCCTCAACGCAGCATGCTGAAGTCCAATACCAACAACGTGCAGACCGGCAAACATGCCGAGAATCCAAAACCAAGAAGCTCGCACGGATGGAACATGGATGCTACGAGCACGCCGCTTGTACCGTGGATGATGCCTTTGCGCGCTGCCCAAGCAGCTCATGCTGTCACAGCGATGTTATCCGTCCCCACGGGTAAACAGCAGCTAAGTCATGCATTCCACAGCAAACCAATGTAGCAGTGGATTCTGCGGTACATCACCTCCACAAGTGAAAAGGAATCAAGTTTGCTGTTAAGTTCCTCACGTGCCCTATGGCGGTGCTTTGGAAGGATGGCCTCAGCTTTGGCCTGGCTTTCGGCATCTTTGTCGGACTGCAGACGCTGTTGATCTTCACCTGGCATGCTTTGCTACACAGCCAAGGGTGGATACAGAGTCCACCGTTCATGACAAGATTGACAAGAAAAAAGTATCAGCTGCAAGAACCGTGGCCCGATATCCAAGCAGGTACAGCATATGGCCCTCAATCACATGTAGCAGCAATCATCGCATCTCACATCTGCGACGGAATGCGCAAGGAACCATCTCCCAAGCATGGTGGCAGAGCGTAACTTCTGCAAATCTCGTGCAAGCTCTTCGTGCTTTTGTTCAGCCTGGCAGTTTGCATCTACCCGGATGGTGTGTGTAGAGGTGGATTAGGAATATCCCACGAGGAAAACTGATCATTCTGGTGTTTCTACATGTGCGGGCCAGCTACAGGTCGTAATTAAGTAGACCAGCAGCACAATGGTTGTCATTACTCGGAAGCTGAGCCATCTCTGATCCAATGAACACGTGCTGCGAAATCAACTGCATCTGAATTTGGCAGACAGACAATCACCCTTCAACCACTGTCTGAGCGGTCCACCACAGCACCAAGAAAATGCCGCAGCTAGGCCCTCAAATTCAATTCTCTGAGCTTCTGAACCCGTGCAATCCGGAAGGGAAGCAGTTGAAAAACATAGCGGCAGATCTCAATTAAGTACGGCCTGCGCTCGTAGCTGAGCTTCGCGGGCCTGACCAATGAAAGCAAGCAAACGTGAGCTTCTGGGACATCTTCTATGCACCGAGGGCCTGCATTCTCACACCTTTGTCCGAACCGACAGAAACAATACGGAAAGCTGAACATGACGGCGCAGGCGGAAACTCGCAAGCCACAGTTCGCAGAAGCGGCGATATGAATCCTCCGAGAAGTCTATCAGAAGCCTTGGGTTTGTGCTGAGTGGCTGCATCTGCTTCGAGAGAGCTCCGGGTTTACCAGAGATAGCCAAGATAGAGACAAAATAGACCCAGAGATCCGAAGCTCCGCAGCCTGGTCTGCCTGCATCTTGGCCTGATCTTGAGCCATCTTCCTTGCAGACTACAGCGCTTGAATTTCATACGACAATGACTGCCCTCCCCCTCATCTGCAGATACGTTCATAGATCCCTACGGCGCTTCTGTTCTTGACTGTGCCCTGTCTAACAGAGTCTACCCCTTGGTCTGTGTACTTTTCCGATTTCTAAGTGTGTAGATTACCATGTCAGCGACTGGACTGAGTGTGCACGGACAAATCGCAACACACTGAACATCTCCTTCTGCACTCATGCCATCTGTCCGGGGCTGGAAGCTGCCAAAATCGTTCTGCTGGCATCCGCACAAGGAAGCATTCTCGCAAGGTCGTGCAACCCGCAAGTGACCTGAAATTCCACTCCATGCGTATCGCCGCTGATCGTTCACCAGTGCCAAGGACCGCTTCTGAAACCAAAATCCAGTTCAGGCACGTGTCAATGGGAAGTTCGTGCGGCGAATGCGTTGGTTTGTTTCTATTCGGCAGAGGGGCAACCATGTCTCTTCTCTCATGCTTGCCCCAGATTTAAAGTAGGGGTATCTCCTGCACTCCCCCCTCGAAGGGGATCTTTCCGTCCAGCGTCCCGCGCCAGAGTCGACCCCGCTACACCTTTGACCCCACCTTAAGCTCCTTAACGCCTATCCCCGCCTCGACTCCAGAACCAAACCCTCTCTCTGTGGCGCTTTGTCCTCGAAACCGTGGGGTGGAGTGACCTCTCCAGACCTTTTCGTTAGATGCCGCTCTCACAAACTCTCTTGTAAGATGTGCCGGGCTGGCTGTTTGTCGCCTTCCACCTCGGTTGTTTCTAAGGACGTTACAGGAACAGCACACGCATACGTAGCGACGCAGTGCACTTGACGCCGCTGGACCAAGCTGCCGGCCGCTGCATGGCGCTGCTGCATCTCTTCCTTGGCTCGTCTCTCGGCCTCCAAGAGCTCCTTGTCCGCAAGCGGGCTGTCTGCATGCTGTCTGGGCAGAGCTGTCAAGTTCCTGCAAATGACCGTGTCCAGAGGCCTTCTCTCGCAGCACCTCCTCAGCTATGAAGAGCAGCAAAAAAACCGGCTCTTGCGCTCAGCATCACCCTGGAGGTCCGCCCGCTGCCTGATGGAGTCGCTGCACCTCGGAAGGGCAATTGCGGATGAGTTTGTGTCCTCATTCCTAGACTTGCAGTGTACCTGCTCCAAAAAAAAAAACACCATCCATCACACTTGCAGGCAGCGATTCTAGTCTGCTGCACGGCTACACTCCTGGTCCTGCTGCATGGGAATTACTAGCATGCAGAAGAAGTGAACCTCCAGTTTTGCGTTCTCTTCTGCATCTTTGTCGGCTTTCAGCCTCAACTTCGGCTTCTGCGACATGTCTACTCAGTCCCCAGAGAGCAAGGCTTCAAGGTCCTGCCTCGAGTGGTCTTCCTGGAGCTTCTGCATGTCTTTGGCAACGGCTGCATGCCTCGTTTCTGCCTCTGCGCCTTAACATACCGAAGGTCAGAGGCAAGATTGCAAATCTTGGGCTCGTCTGTAGGATTCCTAAATTAGAAGCCCAGCAACGAAACAAGCTGCTCGACGCCCCAAAGGCAGGATCCCCAATCTCCCAAAGGCTTTCTTGCAGGGCTGGAGTTCGCAAAGTGAGGCCCAAGCCCTCTGGCCCCGGCTTTGCGTCCTCGTTCGGGGTTTTCGGGCTCTTTGCCAATCACCTCCTTTCACGAACCCTTCGTCGAAATTTTGGCTTGGTTTTTAACTGAGATACTTAGGAGAAAATGCTCGGTCGATGGCATCCTCAGCTAAGTCGCCACGTTGTAACATGCCGTCTTCGACCGATGATCGTCACGTTCATATGGAGTTGAAGCCCCAAGCCCGTTCACTGAGCACCCTGCGCAGACGAGCTTCCTCTTCCTTCTCTTGGGTGACACGTTGGTGGTCTGCACCTCAGAACACAAACCAAACAAGGGTTTGATGCGACTACACGTTGGGACACCAAGGCCCTGACGAACCTGCTCCATATCCTTGAGGACAGACTGGTGCCTGCGCTCTGCCTGCAGAACTTCTGGTGCTGAGGCTAGTTGGAACGATGCCACTGGAATTGTGCGTATTTGCAATGAGTCGTCCTGCCTACAGTAATTAGGAAACCCTGCGGACACCTGCCCGTGTTGCATGGATAGGTCTAGAAAGCTTAGCCGCTCCGGATCCCAAGCTTACCACAAGATGGAATATGCTTGAGTTCCCCACTGCAGCTCCGAGCCTCCGCGCGTGCTTGTTGCTCAGCCAGCTTGTCCTGGCGTTTGTGAAACACGGCATCCGGGTTGGACGGAATGTATTCTAGCCCTAGCTCTTCTCATCGAAGTGCAACGAGAGCCAGCACGGCTGCTTGTAACTTTTCTTGGTCGGCCTTCAGGCGCCTTGCATCCTGCGCAAGGAACCCTTCCGAGGTCCCGAAGACGAGGCAGGAAGTCCACGAAGATTGCGAAACAGTACAGTCTCGACGGCTCGACGCATCACTCCGCCTCGAGGGCTGCAGCGTGCTTCTGCTCCGCAAGCAATCTGGCTTGCTTCTCTGCAGCTTGGTCCTGACACCACGCTGCGGCCGAGCTGCGGGCAGCACAGCTAGATTAACATAACTAGATAGGACAACTAGGAGGCAATGGACACCTTGCGCAGCTCCTTCTCCAACTCGAGCTTGTCTCCTTTGATCCTTTCCATGTCCGCCAACACGGCGTTGTGCTTCGCCGCGACATCCTCCTGCCAGGGCAGCCGTTTCCCGGCAAACCTGCGATGCATGCCAGCAAACTGCCTTGGCACGCTCTTCCGCTGCGTGAGCGGCCTACAGGAGCAGCGGCTCTTGAGCGGACCTCTGAGATCCAGTCCCGGCGCCCCACGAACCGGAGCCGTATCTGAACCGCTCTACACGCGAATTGCGATAGCTAACCCCTCCCCTCTAATCCCCTTCCCATGCAGCAGATGCGCCTGCAGTCGCTGCTGATCTTCTCTGAGCATTGCAGCATCTTTGACTGCCTAGCAGCGTACAGCATTCGGAGATGAGGAGCTGTTCATACCCAAATACACACAGGCAGACCCAACTGTGTTTTCGAACGCACGCGGCGCTGAGCCCAGTCTGACATCGGCTCGAAGCATCATTTTTGGCAGTCGTCGGAGAGCAGTGCCCATGTGAAGCCGCTCGTGCGGAAAAAGGAGAATACGACCGCGACGCGCCGGGACACGTGCTAGCGCCTCAGGAGTGTCCGAAACCTCAGAGGCTTCTTCAAGCAGCCAAGTCTCACCACCGTCCTGACAATCAGTCAGGTATAGAAGCAACGTGTGGGTTGTGCTGAGCCCAGCCGGTGAATAGCCAGGCAACGCCGCAGATATATATCCAGGTAACCACTGATAATCAACATGGGGAACCAGAGGAACATTGGGGCTTTTGTATCGCAAGAATCTAAGCCATGGAGAAACGTGCACATCACCAAATCCTGCAGATCGCAGGAGAGATGTGAGGGCCTCCTGAATACAGCCGATCGCATCACAAAAGAAGAGGCGCTCTGCGGCTCGCCGGCCCATCTCTGTCTCCGGTACAGGGAGACTGTGCCCCAAATTGTCCAGCATGTGTAGAAAGTCATCCGGGAAGCTTTCAAGAAATAGCCAGCTGCCTACCATGTCACGCTCAGGGAGAAGCAACTGCGGCGCCGCTTTGGAATGTGCCGATGCCTTGAAATAATCTGCAACGCTTGCTTCAGCATCACCGGCACTTGCAGTGAAATGGTTACACAGCATCTCCACAACTCCATGATGATTCATTGCTTCTGCCACTTGCTTTGGCGTGACGCCTCCTGCTGCAGGAAAAGCTTCAGCACCATGGGAGATCAGTGCAGCGACTGCGCTCTCATGACCATACCACGAAGATAAGAACAAGGCAGTCTGCCCGAATAGATTCCTTCCGTTGACGTCGACACCGGCCTGTAGGAGGGCCTGCAGCCACTCCTCGTCACCAAGCGCAGCCGCGTTCTCAAAAAGCAACATGCGCCTTGCTTGCGACGCCCCCAAAGGCCGTGATGTCTGCGGTTCGTCGCCGGTCGTTTTGGACCATCGTTTCGGCAGCAACCGGAACTTCCGCAAGCTATCTTCCCGCAGCTCAGCCTTCCCAGCCTTCACGCAAGCTCGGCAGATCCAACGTCGCCGCAGTCTGCACCGAAGCACAGAGGCAATGAGACAGCCGTCGGACACAGCCTGGAAGACCGCCGGTCTTCGCAGTTCAGGCTGCATACCGAAAAGAGTGGCCGCAGGCGATAGGAGCCGATGCAAGGCCTGCCCTCCATGGGCTGAAGTGTCAAGAAAAGGCACATGCATTATATTTAATGTCACATGCACTAGTGCTGGGGCACAGAAGCAGCATCTATACTGAACACGTGTCAGGGGTGTTGTGGCTTGAAGTACATCCTCCTGCTCGCCGCATAGCTCTAGCAAGAAGGGACACAAATCACTACAAGAACAAGTCGCTCCTACCCCACGCCCTTTAGCGATGGATCTTCACTGGCTTAGATTCCCCACGCTGCACCCCTCTGGCTGTTGCAAGGAAGACCAAGGCCCGTGCTGCAGCATGCCTCTGTTCCACCTCCACTCGCGCCCGCTGCTCGGAGTCACGCTCGGCCTGAAGCCTGGAAACGGTCGCCGCAACCAAGTCACAGCGCCCTCAGTGATCCCCCCCAAACCTGGGCCCGGCCTCAGGCGTTCTGCTCTCAAGTCTTCCATCTCCTTGAGAAGAGTCGGGTGCGGTTCGGCCGCCCTGGCTTGGGCCTGCCTCTCCAGATCCTGCAGGGCACTGGGACGGAACGTGCACACTCAGAGCACAACCGTGGAAAGGCCAAGGCCTTCAGGTTGCGGCCATGTGTTGCCTCAAGGGAGGCCCGCCTGGAGATTTTCGCCGATGCGACAGAAGGGCCGATCGACTGGCTGAGCTGCTGGCATCTGCTCCGATTCCCTGTTGGCGGCCTGGTGGCACCAAGGCAAAGAAAGGCGGTGCCGCGCACTCAACACAATCTGAACGCTTCCTCCCGCCATTGCTCGCGGTGATGCTGCAGCACCGACTCAATGTCTCGCGACTTTTCATCCTTCCAAGCGATAGAGGCAACAGGCATCCATGTCCAGGATTACTCCCTGCTGAAGATTGGGCGGTTTAATTCACCCCAACACATCCGTGGAGAGAACTGAGTCCTCGAACTGGCTAATGCGACCCATCATGGCCTTGCGCTCTTCCTTGCAGGTCGAGCGCTCAGTCAACATGCGCAGGCTTCAATAACAAGCAGTGCTTGCTTCTTGCAACGTGCCTCGGATTTCGCTTGGACTTCGAGGAAAGCCGCTCGTTCCAGCTCCAGCTCACGAACCTCCGCCAAGAGAGAAGAGTTTTTCGGTAAGATCTGTGAGCTGCCGTTTGGTCGCGAATCCCAGCGAAATCTTGCACGACCCTAGCCTTCTGCTGTAAAGCACGGCAGTCTGCAAGCACCGCGCGAGAGTTCTCCTGCCAACAATTCAAGTTCGAGCTTCGGTGGAACACTCCTATAACCCATGCTCGAGCCGTGACTAAAAGCTTCAAAAGCACGCACCTCCAGTTGGCGGAGATCAGCACCTGCCCGTTGTCGTCACAAGCCCGTTTCCCTCTCTTCAGATCCCAACAGAGTGCACCTGCCGCAGCTTGCGCTTCTTGCGCTGCGCGGAACTGCTGGCGCTCACGCTCTAAGGTTGCCTGTTCGTGGATGCGATCGGAGAAAGCGAGCAAAGCACAAGCCGAATGTCTGTCGGTTCTGCAACTGTAACATGCATCAGGTAATACAAGCCTTTACAGAAGATCAACGTGGTCCACTAACTTTCGTCCCATGGCCTCTGCCTCACGTAGGCGATCCTGGCAAGTCTTCTCCGTCAGTTCCAGTTCAGTCATCCGTGCAGCCCTGGTGACCGATGATGATCGATGCCTGCAGCACTTGGACCTGGAAGCCAGCTTCTTTGGCGCGCTGGTTAGCTGCCTCAACGGGAACTGTCCTACGGCACTCAACAATCGATTAACCCATCAACCGATCAAACAATCAGTAAACCTACAGTCATGCAAACACCTCTTGGAAATCCTGTATGAAGGTGCACGATGGCCTCTTCGGCAACTATAGCACGCTGCCGACCCTCCTGGCGCCAAACAGCTTTGTTGCTCGGGTAGAGCCTCCTGGAACTAGGCTCAACGGCCGATCGTAGAGCTGCATTTAGGCAAATAGTATCATTTAAGTCTGCAGAGGTGGCCTGGACCGAGTCTGCAAGCGCCCGCACCTGTGCTACAACGACTTACAACAAACATGACGGATGACAGCAAAACCGTGGCACGCTATGCAGTGGATGCCACTCACGAAGCATTCGGAGCCTCTTCTAACCGACGCTCGCACTCCATCTCCAGGTTGGAGCGCACCTTCCGCGCCGGCACACCAACGCAAGATTTAGAGTTGGAGCGTCACCTGCACATGAAGAGCAACGGCTGAAGAGGCCTTCAGGAGCTCCAGCCGTTCAGACTCAACCTGCAGAGACGCGGAGGATGACTGGAGCAAGACAACATCTTGCAGCATCCTTGGTCGCATTCAGGGGATGCAAAGCAGGGGCTGCAGTGGAAGCAGAGGCCTGCTTCTTGAGCTCCTCGTGTTCGGCCTCCAGACGAAAACACAGGGCACATGCCAAATGGTGCATGTGAAGCCTACAAAGTTCTTCAAGAAGCATGCAGGACAACGATGGCACCGTTTTGGCAAAGCTCACTGACCCCAAGCAGCTCAACAAGCTTTCGCGGGCACTGAAGCCACATCTACGGAAATCAAGGGGTTCAGAGTTCTTTGAACTTTGAAGTCTCTGAGTCCTATAGCTCCGCTCCATTCCCCCAGCATTGCTTGGCAAGCCAGGTGAAGGACAAGACGACATGCGGCAAGCTGCCCTACAACCTTGATGGGATCCATGTGCGCTCGTTCTGCTGGTGGGCTGCGAGGCGTCGAAGACCGGTAAGAATGGACTTCGTGAACAGAAAACGGGCTACGACGTGCGAAGAGGCATGGCCGCCAGCAACCCAGCGCAACTGAGCCCTGGAGTCGAGGTCACGGAGCAGGCGGAAGTTCACCTGGCTGGATCCTTTGTCCACGAATGTATCATAGAAAGCGCTGACCTGCAGCACAACCTTTCGACCGACGGGCCCAGGGATCACCATTTCGTTCAGCTCCTTGGTACTCATGGCACACAGCAAGCCACGTAGGAGGCTCTCGGATTCCTGTGCATCGAGGCCATGGCTCTCCTCTGCCAAACGATCCAAAGCCACCTCACCACGCAAGGCCCCACTGATCAAGACCTCGGGGTCGGCGGAGGGAAGGCAGGGCACCACCGCCAAATCATGCTTCTTTCCCAAAAACCCAAGGCACGAGGCCATTGCCCCGCCCCAGGAGATGCCGGTGCTTCCCAAGCAGGCATTCGGGAACTTTTCACGAAGCCAGTCCAGAATCTGCATGGCTTCCAGGAGAAGGCCCGCGCTCTGATGGGAGAACTCTGCGACGGTGCTTATGTAGTGCAGTGTCTGATGTTTCGGGCGACGCGCCCCGTAGAATGGTGGCGTTATCAGCACCGAGGCGACACCCTCTCGCAAGAGCGGCAGGCCGAGCATCACCTTACGGAAGAAGTAGGACTGGTCTGCAGTGCCTGGAAACTGTACCACACACGCCCAGGGTTCTCGATCCTTCGGCATGAGGAGCTCAAAATCGCAAAGTCTGCTCTCCTCCGGCAGATAGGATGCCAAGGGGCTCGGAAACTCTCCACGGCAGCGAAAACCCGAGCCCCCGAAGAGAGGAGACTCTGGTCCCAAGGACACGGAGGGTGCCGCAACTCCGTGTGAATATTCCAGCACAAAGTCGTCCATAAAAGCGCGGGCATCCTGAAGTTGCTGAAGGTCCCCCCAACCGCTGGCAAAGAACCGATGGCTGGCCAAAGGCTTTAGGTGAGCTGCAAAGCCAAGTGCCTGGTCCAGCAGCCCACAAGCCCTCCCAGCAGCAGCCAATGGCAAGTTGAAGGAAGGCTCCTCAGCTTCGCTCGCCTCGATCATCGGAGCGGTCCCTTCGACCCCTCTGTGTCGGCTTCAGCTTTGATTCATGTTAATGTGGCTACACGCCCTCGAGCCGAAAGCAAAGCCGGCCCCAATCTTCTCCTGCGCCTCATTGCCGCTTCTTGTCCTACAGAGGCTTGCCATGCTGGGCTCTGTGGTTTCCAGGCGTTGACTGCTTCCTGTCTTTGGTAGTCTTTTCTTCACATTCAAAAAGACTTGAAGGAAAGAGCATGCGTGCCCTGCTGACACTTCACAGTTTCTATTGTTGCTGCTTCCGCCTGTCTGAACAGGGGTGTCTCAGTCTGTCGATGTGCCAGTGCCCGCTGCAAACTGCACCCGTCCGGTCCATGGCCGTTTTAAGCACCGGGAACGTCTCTCCGTCTGCTTCGAACATGTGCGGGCACGCCTCGAGGATCGAGAGCCGCCGGGCGGGGCTGTTCCCGGCCTGGAGACAGAAGCGGAAGCTTCTTCTGAAGTAAATGTGAATCGTCGTCAAACGATTCATAAGTTCGGCCGTTCACGAAGCAGAAGTACTCATCCAACCATACTGCTTGCGAGAAGATGCTAAGAATGCATCAACTAGCGCGCATGGTGTCAAGCCCTTTGTTGACTCTGTTGAGAAGGTGCGGAAGTATGGTCTTAGCTATGATATCGTTCGATGAACTGCTGGCACTGCGATGCACCGTCCAAATGCTGACAGCCTCATCGAAATCCTCCGGCGGTGCAGCATAGAGCCCTGTAACAATGCAGCAGGGAATGCAAAGACTTAACGGATCAGGCCAGCTCACGCAGCTTCTGCGCAGCCTTCGTCACGAATTAGGCGGCGGCCTGGGAGTCAGCGGAGGGCGCAGTTTGTGAAATCAGTGCAGAAACCAGTCAGACTCGCTGCAAGCACCGGACGATCACGATGCTGCCGGGAATTTCCCAAACCAACCACCGCCGATTCAACAGACAGGAAATTGCTGAAATCGTGCCTGATAGCTGGCCGCGCTCGCCATCTGCAACTAGGCGCCGCAGATCGGACAGATGGGTCTGCCTTCAACAAAACGGCGAAAGGGTTCGACTGATGAGCAGCATCGAAGCCCAAAAATCAAACCTCAAGTCGTCACGGAACGATTCAGTCTCGTCCTACTTGCTCGCAATATGTTTTGTTCCGAAACTTGTCAAATATCTCAACAATAATCTCGGAAATTGTACAAGCCTTGGGAGCCCCTGTGCCTCAGCTCGCAAGCCTCGCGGCGCTGCTCGATGGCCCGGATCTGTTTGTCAATCCAGTCAAGTGTGCCTCGGCGGCAAGCTCGTGTTCGACAGTGACGCCGAAAATCCCCCTAAAGATCCGGCTCTCGTTGTCGCCAGTCCCATCGGCGTCTTCCGTGGTGCCTCAAGTTGGAAGATGCAGATCAGATCAAGATTTAGCACACAACCATGCTCGGGATGTGAACAAGCGGCACAACTTCACTGTAAGGATCAGTGCAACTGTGCCAACATTGGAAGACAACGCCTTTGTCTACATGACTGAACTTTCAACCGGGGCCTCGGCCACCCAACTCCGCCTCAGCGCAGGTCGACACAACCGTCTTGAAAGGAAGCAGCAGGCATCATGGGGGGGAAAAGCGCGACCATCGTAGCAGCTAGTGGCAGCTAGTGTCTCTGTGGTGAGAGGCTCAAGCTCGACTGCTGCCGACGCAATGCTGGAGGCAGCGGCATCGGTTTTGAGCTCGTTCAGCGGAGATTTGACACACCTCAGCAACAAAATGTCTGGGATTCTGAGGAAAGTCTGCAGATCTCCGAAGGCTGAAGAAGCGACAGGTGCAGGCTTGGCTGATTTGTGCCGAACTCAAGGGTGCGATGAAACTTCGCTTGAGTCCTCCTGCGAACACTCGCCGCACTCACTTTGAATGACTTCTGCTCCACTCCAACGCAGGGACATCCAGAGTACTTGTGTCATTTGCCTTTCCGGATAGCTCAGTACTCCAAGCCCGTGCTAGACATAAAACTTGTTCAGCCTGCCGGGCTTCAAAGGGACGTGGTCTTAAAATCCTTGTGAGCCTGCTTCTTGAACCAACAAGAACGACTCAAAGCGCTCACGTGAAAAATGTGTCGCAGCGCGGGCACATATTCCACATTCAACGGCATCATGAACAGCAGTCAGCCTGCATGGTGTCAGTCAGTTTGTTGGGTTTTGCAACTTGCCTTTGCAGCCATGCAAAAACATGGCTGGAATCTCAAGATTACGACTCCTTTCTTCAAGACTCTTTCGAACAGCTGTGTGTGGTCTGACCGTTGCACCTGTTGCGGAACCACATTTTTGCAGTTTGGGCCTGGGTCTCCAAAGACTTGGCTTGCTTTGAGATCCCCGCGCTGCGAGATCGTCTGAGAGCTCCCGTTCCATCTCGGTCACCTGGACCCGGCAACCGTCAGAGTGTTGGCATGTGCACACAGCCCGTGAATGCACTCAGAGCAACCAGAACATCACGACGTATGAGGCGCAAGCAACACCTCTCGAACTGCATGCACCTGTTTATTGTAAGCTGCCAACGACCCCATCAATGCGCTTGATGAGATCCTCAAGAGGTCAGCGGAGAGCCGAATCTTCTTTACTTTGCGAGCTCAAGCTCAGGCACGTAACCACTCCTCGGAAAAATTCTGTGGCGGCTCTGGCTCAGACCTCGACGAGCGACACACATCACAAACGCTCTGCAATCCCGAGAATCCCACCGTCAGGCTCTCTACCAGCGAGAGCCTTCGACCCGATCCGAAGACTGGCCATCACAGGACAGAAACGAAGACTTTCTAGATTCTAGACAACCGTGTTCAAATCCAAGCCATAGCCTGGAACCACTCCTGCCAATGCTGCTGAGTTCTTGAAACTTCCACCTCCATGTAGAACTTCGTGGTGGCGGCAGGACTGGGCCAGCAATGTTAACTAGGACGCCTGCGGAGGTGGCATCACCTGAATATTGGGGACCTCAGCATTTATCGCAGATGGCTCCTCTCGCAGAAAGCCGAACATTCTCCTGCCGCGAACACAAGAAGGCGCCGGCAGACATCGTCGGCCTGGGCTTGAGAAGAAGGTCACTTGCTAAAATCATTTACCGAGTGGCCTGTCCTAGTTATAAGCGAGTTACTACTCATCGATTGCTGACCTATCCAAACTTCAATACTTAAGCCGATCATGGCCTCGGCATGCACACGATAGAACAGCACCCAGCTGGGCCAAGCATCCCTTTCCATAGCACATATTACCTGCCTGCTAAACGATGCTTTCCCAAGCACTTTTGGATGGTTTGCCATTCTCTTACGAAAGTTAGCGACTGGCGGGATCAATCATCGGACATATTGATATGCGCTGTCGTGACATCATAAGTTGAGGTCGGTGCTGAGCCAACTGGGCCTCATGACTTGATTTCACTCACGGAAAACAGAAGTGGGCATGAAGGGATGCAGGGGCACTCGTGTTCATCGTAGGCAAAGTGCAACAGGACAGCTTGCCATACTTTCACCGTGTTTGCGAAGCCTGTTCTGAGGTCAGAGCCGACACGGTCTGGACTGGCGCTGCTACTGGCATGGCCTGCACAGCCGACATTTGTCCACAGCTTGCCTTCAAAAAGGCTAAGGTGGGGGGGAAAGGACATCCCATGTCAATATCGGCCTGCAGCAGATGTGCAGAGCTGCCAACATTAATCTGACCTTGGTTGAGTCAGCTTCGAACGGCTGAAGCAGAACATCCTGATAAATCAGAACTGATTCCCAGATCCGCGAGCATGCATTTGCATGCTTCCAGACTGCATGGCTTGCGTGCTTTTCGCCTAGCCGGAGCCTGACCCGGGACACGCCAGAAGCAAAGTACAAAGATCCCAGCCGGCCGGGTTCCTCGGCTCTGGCGACCTCAGCCATCACAGCACGCGACAAGTCAGACCTACAGCTCCCCAGCACACTCCGCAAGCATAGGCTGGGCATCTGGCACTCCACGATTCAATGGCTGCGCATATGCAAACCTCATTCGTGGTAGCACTAGAGACTTCAGAATGCTCGTCCTGATGATCCCGAGGCACAGACGCAGGGACACCACGATGCTGCATTGGCGAAACGGACCTGCGCCAGTGCGACGATCGACTTCTGGACAGTGGTGTTTACAAGTTTCACATGCTTCTGTTGTTCGTTGAACAATTTCGAAGGCCGAACATTTGCTGCCCGTCTATCCCCACTGCACTCATCTGCTACCTCACGGGCGCACTGCCAACTGGATAGATGAGGCCTCGGCTGATGCAACGCACGCTGAGACAGCGGTCGAAGTTCGAGCTCGGGGCCGCTGTTCGCCGCTTGTTGGAACTCTGCACGGGTGATGACACCATCCTGGTTCGTGTCCACCGCTTCGAAGCTCGCCGCAACAAAGGGTGAGGGGCTTGTCGAAGCTGCCGATGTCTGACCTGCAACGATACGTTTTGCTCCTGAATGCCCTTACGTCAATTGTGTCCCGATCAGTATCTTTGACACGAGATCGACCTTGAACTTCAGAACTCTGCAGACTTCGACTCTGAGAGACACCCGGAGGCGTGCCTGGCTGCGAGGATGCGACGCCCGTCACTGGCTCCAAAAGCTGGCCACCTGGGGCAACCGCTCGGCTGTTTGGACAACTTAGCTCGCCGATAAGATGCATGCCGCACTCGAGGAGAACAGGCTGAAGTGAGTTAACCGCAGCTAGCAGCCAGAAACTACCTTCACATCCTTCCAGTGCCACTTTTAAATGGCGGGCGCGACCTCTCTGGTGGTAAGTTCTCACATTTAGGGTTTACTGTTTCTTTTTAGGGTTTAGGGTTTAGGTTTCTTTTCGGGTTACCACCGGAGAGGTCGCGCCCGGCTTAAAAAAGCACCATCCCGTGAATGCCTGGCAAAGCCACGGGAGACAAAGTCCGGGGAAGCTGAGTGACACCAGCCTTTCCAAGCCAAGGGAGGCACATAACAAACCCCCAAACCCAGCCCTAACAAGATTTACCCGTTCACCGAAGTGCTGCTGCCCATGTGGCATCCAGGCCTGTATCCGACCAGAGTCCACTGCCCCTCAGCGGCATCTGTCAAGACATCTGTAGGGAATCCACACAACACTTTGTGAGGTTTAACTTGCCTTGTAGAATGCCACCTGCATCAGCCCAAGTTTTCAAGCCGAAATGCAACCACAAGGGAAGTAATCAAAATCCCGAAGTGGCACAGTTCACAAGGGCGCGTCGACGAATCAACAAGCTGAAGTGTGTGGTGGCTCCTCGTTTGCGTAGTTTCTGGAGATTGCTGTCTGTTTCGGCACTTGCTGGGTCAAAGCTCCTTGGTAAGTTCCTTGCAGGTAACCCCAAAAACGTGTCAAGTAGAAACCCACCATAAGATTTTTTGCTGCGGCCCCTATGCACGTGTTGGCACGCGCCTTGCGTTGGCGCTTGCATTGGCGGCGTTTCTAGGACTCAAAAGGGGTGTATGCCTTCATAATTAAGGGCATACAATACATGAGGACAAAAGATGCTGCGACCCGAGGTGCAAGTTGACCCAATTCTGACTGCTTCTTCTTCGACCCTGAAGATCCCCGAACCTCATTTCGATCTTTGCCGGGGGTCCGCCGCGAGTAGAACACTCAACATCTCAAGAAACCTGAGATCCAGGCACGCACGGCCCTGCACTGCAGAAGGGGGGACCTGGCCACAGAACGCAGCTGCTCGGTTCGTGAGCCGCTCTGGCAAAAGCAAACTGAGTATCCTAACAACACCATCGTTTCAGCCTGTGGCAATGCTGTGAAAAGCATCTGTGCCGAAGAAACGAAACTGTCTGGGCTCACAAACCTGTGGCTGCTGCTGAGGCGAGATCCCTCCTCGCGAAGCGCTGGCAAGCCGCAGAGAGGACTAAAATAGGAGGCAGGATGTCCTGGACGGAAGGCTACATTCGCCTCAGGCTGGTTTGGCATCCACGCCACAGCGGCCATGGCGCCCCACCGTCAGTAGCAAAGAAATCAAGCGAACTTAAAACACTAGCGAGTGGGCATTCATTCTGTTGCGATGGTGACTTGCTGCTGCATGCCTGGCGGCTATGTGCCTCAGTGTGTGAGTTTGTCACGAGCATGCTTCTCATGTCACAAGACCGGGCTTGACTGCTCTTGCTCATTGCGTGGCTCACTAAGTCCCGCTTCGGGCAACTCTCAAGAAGCACCAGTGCCGCACACCTTGGAGAGGGAAGAGCCCGATCCTACACTGCGACCTCACAAGCATTTTCCTGCGACGTCGAGCATTGGAGGGCTTTGGCCGTGCCTGAGATCAAGTCAAGTTAGATATGAACGATTCTTGCAACTTATGATACCACAGGTCGGCCGCGTCATCTCAGTAACTAGTACAGTAGTCGAAGGAAGCATTCCTCCCAGAGCCCCTTGCTCTTGGCTGCCGGGCGTGCTCAGCTCCACCACACGACTAAGGATCCGACTGGAGGCTTGTCATCAAATCAATGAGGTGCAAAGCTTCATGGATATCTGCCTGTGCAAGGCATCGAACAAACAACTCGTGCCACCTGGACTTTCCATTCCAGATTCCGACTGCTGCGTGGAGTCTTGGCGATAGTTTTTACAACGTCCAAGCGGTTGCTGATGAGAAAACCTGGATAAACAGAACCAGCTGAGCATCAGCCAACCCAGCCACCGTCATGTCAGGACCCTCCCGGCCTTCACTCTGGCAACTTGCTTGCTTTTCAACTCCAAGCCACTGCGAAGATGTGTCTCCTTCGCCAGTACGATGGCTTTGGCTACGTATCGAAAGACACATTACATTATGGAACAAGAAAGACGATCCGAACTTCTGACGGTACACCAAAGAGCTAGCTGTGCTTGCCACTTCCATTGTGGAGTGTGAAGCTTGCTCTTAACCCATCCTTGTCTTCTAGGAATGCTTCTGCATCGGCCAGCGGCATCTCAAGCCGAAAGTTCAGACCTGGGCCAGCAGCTCTCAGCAACTTTGCGTGGCCAAGGGGCCCTGTGCATCGCACCTACGTCCACCAAGATGCAGCTGGTGTCCGGAATCAATGCTTTCACGAAGAACCTGATGCTCTCTTGAGTCAGGTCGAAATCTTCTTCGACAAACGTTCTGCTGCAGACCGTCGTCTGAAGTCCCAGCTGACAGCCCAGCTCGACAGTGGTCTCTAGCTCGGACACTTCCTCCTGCTCATTTTAAACCGTATGTTCAAGGTCTACACAACAAAAGCACACGTCCTTAATGAGCATTGAGATATTCCGTCGCAAGTCTTTGCACCTGGGCAGGAAGTCGGCATGTTCGCGTGGACACTCAACGCCGTGTTGTTGTAAGCAAAACTGGTGCACTTGCAGAAGCTGTCATTATGGAAGAACAGGGGGAGTCCAGGGCGGCAAGAAGGTGAGACGACGGCTGCTCAACCACGTCTGCTGCCTCTTGCCAATCCAGTAGGCATTTCCTGGTCGCGGCAAGGAAAGCTGGTTTGGAGAGCAACGCTCACTGTGCAGGCAGTATCCGATTAAGCCCCAAGCCGATGGTTGGCTTTGAGAACTTTTTCTACAAATTCTTCGTACCTGAACTAACAATCAAGCAACGAAAAGACTCCAAATGTCATTGCGGGTGGCAAAAAATGAACAGGACCGGCTTGCTAGATTCAGATGCAGCGGCTGCTGCAAGCTAGCTCGGTCCAGTGAAGTGCTACCTCCATTTTTTCGCGTTTCTGCAAGATTGCTCGCACCGCGTTGCCCAACAAACAAGCGAACACCTTTGAAGATTCGGCTAGCGGCTACGCCTGCTACCAGATGAAACATCAGCTGAACCGTGAAGCATGCAGGGTTGACTTCCGTGGAAGCAGTTCCCCTGTTCGTGCAGCTCCAGACAGCCGACCAGTTGCTGTACACCTCGATCAGTTCTGCCCCGACGTACGCCTCTGGCCTACTTCATCTCGCTCTTCTCTTGCCCGACTGAAACTTCGAAGTTCGCCTTCTCTTCAGTCGTCTTGGCCATTGGGCTCGCGTGCACTTCGGAAGCGCTTCTTCAGCTGCTGAGCGGTTTCATCTGCGTGTTGCTGCACCTTAGACGCAGCACGTTGAAATGCCCTTTCAAAAAAAATCACTGGAAAGACAAGAAACCCGTTCGGGGCTATTCATCCTGAAAACAGCACCACATACTCTCGAGCACTGAATCAGTTCGAAAGAAATGAACATGCTGTGCGCCCAGGCCGATTTGCGAAAGTCGTCGATCTTGATGGCAGTGCGGATACCTGTGCCTCAGCCATTGAAAGCATGTTTTGCAGGAAGAAGTTAAGAGGAGACTTCAACATGCAGTTTCCCGGTTGGAAAAGTCACACCCTGACACTGTCTGCTGCAACTTGCAACTTCTTCTGGTGAGGCCAGCGCAAATGCTGGCCGCTTTCACATCACGCCAAGCCTGCAAAACAGGAATGCAATTCAGCGACTCTAAATGCAGCGCAAAGCATGGCTGCAGCCTCTCGGTAATCTTCGGAGCGCCACGGAACGCCACCCGGATGCCTGCACAAAAAGCAACTCACAAATACATTGGATGCCTGGGAACAGGTTTGGGACGCTTGCGATAGGTCTCAAGGGCAAGCTTGCAAAAGTATCTGTAATGGTTCCGTTAAGGGCTCATGTTCACTACTTGCGCTTCTGCTGGCATAGACTCGGCAGGGACTGTCTAGGCTCACACCTAAACTCCGTCTATCATTGCACTGGCTGGCTCTACCTGCCCCGTCTCCAAGTTGGCTTGTTCAAGGCATCCTTCACCTTGCAAGGGGAAAGGAAACATCGCGAATACAGGCCGTCCAACCATTGTTGGGAAAACATGCTGAGCACAAGGCCCCGAGATCGACCGCCTTTTGACCTGATCAGCCCGCTAGAATCAGCCGAAGTTGGATCCAGCGGTTACAGGTTCACAGGTTGAAGCTCACACACGTGACTCAACCATTCCCCAGACTGAGGTGCCAACCAACAATCCAAAGGCTAGAAAGGAGAAGCAATGCAAAGCAACCCGCACATCCTCGGACCAACTGCTCCAACTAAGTTTCCGTGATATGACACTGCCGGAGCAGCTACGGGCACTCAAGGATCTGGCCGACGAGTAGGGTGTCGGCCTTGGCTTGCGCATGATTCCGGGCGGGCTGCGAAGGTTCCGATCCAAACACGGAAGTCGCGTGCTAGCGACGTCTCAGCTCAGAACCCATCGCCGCTGTTTGCGAACAATATCACCGCGTCTTTGAACCTCAGACTCAGACTGCGGAAGTTCCTGTGCTGAGTACAGCACGTCAGCTGCCATCCGACATCTTTCGAGAAGAGAATGTCAGGTGCAACAGCTGTGGCAGCGACCACGAGCTGGAGCAGCTTGTCCTTCGAAACTTGCGGCTCGGTTGCTGGGAGCAATACCGAGTAGCAGAAGCGATAATGTACATCAACAGCCCGATGGGCAAATCCAGGGAGATGGACGTGGGAAGTGATTAGACTCGACTAGAGCAGACTGACTAGACTAGAAAGTTCAGCAAAGGACGATTGTGGTACCCGTAGTGCGCTTGGAATATCCAATCGGGCCTGGCTTGGCCGTGGCCTTTCAGGCTCGTGGGGCTTGGGCTCCAGGACCTCCAAAGCAGATCCAGCCCAGCTTCAGCGTGGACTCGTGGACTTGTGCCCAGGAGCTGCGGTCGCCTCGGCCGCGATCTGGATGTTGGCCGCATCTACCGTACCCTGCCATGGGATACAACAGCCAGCAACATGTTCCCAACGCGAAACAAGCATGCTGCAAGGCAGCTAGGGCTCGTGGCAAATCTTGCTTACTACGTCTTTCAGCTCAGCCCAGCCCGATCCTGCCCACCAATGAGCAGCAATCCGGCCGCGAAGCTCAGCAACCCTGCTAAGCTGAAGCAGCCCCCAGCAGGCCCAGGCAGGACCTGGCCAGCTTAGGTGAAGTCAGGCTGGTCGTCTGGTCTTCTCTGCTGCACAGCCAAGACCCAGAAATCCCCGGTCCCCTGCGTTGAACCGGGATACCGAGCACCTCTAGGTGGTGTGGCCAAATCGCGGCTTCGCCCCCGGTCGTCACGAACAGGACTTGCGCGATCCATGGCCTCGAGAAACGGTGGCATGCCCCAAGCATAGGCAAACATAGAGACAAGCAAGAAGCCATAAACTGCAGAAACAAAGATGTTGCCAGCTCGCCTCATCCAAACGCAGCACCAGGTGGACAAAGCCAGAAGCATTCCGCAGGTTAGGAAGACGTGGGCAAACAGGAGGGCAACGGACAGGCACTCCAGCAACCTCCATGCGACTTAGGGCAACTTCGCCATGATCGACATCAGCATCACACAACTACGCGACAACGCGGCTGCCGGCACCTGCGGACCTTAAGGGATGTGCATGCGATTGCAGCCAAGCATGCTGCCTCGGAGACACGAGATTTACGGCTTCATAGTCCAGAGCTGTCTTGACGCATCTCCCAGGGCACGAAACAAACGCAGGCCCGGGGCCACAGCTGCAACCATGGACACCAGCACTGAAGCACCTCAGCTCACAATCCGAGGTGCCCAGCAGCAGCAGCAGCGGTGGCAGCGGCAAAGTAGTAGTAGTAGTAGTAGTAGTAGTAATAGTAGTAGTAGTAGTAGTAGAAGTAGTAGTAGTCGTCGTAGTGTTAGTAGCAGTAGTAGTAGTAGTAGTAGTAGTAGTAGTAATCGTCGTCGTCGTCGTAGTAGTAGTAGTAGTAATCGTCGTCGTCGTAGTAGTAGTAGTAGTAGTCATAGTAGTGACTAGTTGTGGTAGTGGT